AGAAGAGCAAGAACGCTGGGACCCTTTTTCCACCTCCGCTCTTTTTGGCCCTCATGTCCCTCCGTCGTCGGACTAAACTCGCCCCCACTTCCTCGCCGCCTCGGCCGTATCTATTCCCACAGTGTGTAGCTCAGACCACGCTTCAATATTGAGCATTAATAAAAAATGTCTGTGTCAAGCTAACTGCAACACACTGCTGTAAGAGTATAACCAGGAAGCGAGGTAGGAGGGCAAAATAGGTTTAGCGCCACCTCAGCACGGGAGGGAGAATTACGCCCAGGAGCAAATGGATAAAAATAGACCAGAGAAAAAAAAAAAAACATGATTCAATTCTCTTGCGGACGTGTCGATGCATCGGATCGTCGGCTGTTGGGTCGATGCATCGATACAAAACGATTATTATTTACACCCCTAGAAAGTACCTCTGTGCACACAGCAGTGGGTAAATCATGCAACCCATGTATGGAGGCTTGGTCCTCGATGCGGCCATTAGAGGATGGAGTCCCAGCCTAGTGACTTTTGCTGCCTGTCTTCCCCCTCTCTCCCGTCCCATTTCCCGTCTCCCTACTATCAAAAATATTCCCACTAAAGCCTAAATAAGATCTCATGAGAAAGTACCCCTGGTACAGTGCCAGCGTTTGTTCCCTCCAAACCTCACCCCTGGCCGGATCTTTTCAGATTGCTGCTCATCCTGAACATGTGGACGTTTCCTTCCGTTCAAAGGAAGTTGCTCATCTCCACTGTCGCCACATGCTTGCTTAGGTCACTAAAGTTAAAACAATGTTTTGCTTCCCTCAGTGAATTCTTTTTAGCAATTTTGATTGTATTACTAACTTAATTTGATCATAACTGCACTTCAGTCCAACTAAAGGAGTAGACCGTAATGAATTTTGTTCCAAGTTGTATTACTTTGTAATTTGACATAAATTTCAAATGTTTCTCTTGTGCTTTGAACTAATCAGTACATCGATTCCCATCATCTTTGAGTAATGCCTTTATTTTGAAATTCACAAGGCATGAGCTCATAGCAAACAGTTCTATATAACTATTTACTATTTTTATATAAATACCTGATGTCTATTAAAGCTCATTTTATGGGCGTTAAATTATTTTGCTGATGCATCATATCGATGATTTGAATTTAACTGAAATATGTTGATAGACAGACGGGTGATGAGGATGTCGCCTTTACTTTAAATAACATCTTTTATCAAATGGAATCATGTAAACAAACCGAACTGGAGGGAAAAGCTGGATTAAAATAGTGTTTAAGTCCAGTTTGAGGCCTTTTATAACTGCCTGTAAGAGCCGGTTGGATTAAAACGCACAGTAGTTCAGATTAAAACAGTGTTTCTACATCTGTTCGAAGCAATGCCTGACTAACACCCCCGGTTTAGAGATGAAGCCTCTTCCTGCAGCGTTGATCCTCTATAAAAACACAACAGAGGGAGGATCAAACATATCGGCTCATTGCTGTCTGTGGAAAACACTGAAGTCACGGCCTACTGTAATCACTTCCTTTATTCCACCCATATTGTTTGAAAAGATCTCCTACAACCTTAAAGCAAACTTCTCTGTGAGTCCTTTTGATTTTAGGAATTAAAAGAAACGTCATCAAATGAAGGTTTTCCTAAAGCGTCCAGCCGGCTCAACCAATCAGCATGTTCCTTTAACGTCACTCAGAGGTCTGTAAGCTTTAAAGACCCAATAAAAGCAAATTCAAGAAGTGAACATCAACAGTTCCCCAACAATTAGGAGGAAATGGAATAAAACCAGCAGGTAATGGAAGAAGTTGTTGTGATTGGAAATAAAACATCGTAAAAACCCAAACAAACGGCTGATATCGGGAATTGGAAAGCCTGCTTCCTGCATCCAAGCACATGTAGACGTCGCTGCTTTATATCAGGATACAGGATTCAGCTAAGATGGAGTCAGTCTCGCCTTTTAAAGCCAAAGCTCATAGAAAGAAAAACAAACAAGCCTATAATTATTTTTATATCCAACCTGGAAAACTTATAATTTAAGTTGTTCTGTGGTCAAAGTTTCACAGCCACTATGGGGGCTGCCATTTTTGTTGGTTTCTGCAAAGAACTTCCAGGAGTGCTTTGCACAGGGGCGGAGCTACATGGGGGGCCAGGGCCACCCTTACCTAATCACTGGCAGCCCCTAACATTTTTCCCTCTAAGCAGTAATACTCTCAAGTGGAATGTTCTAACTTATTTAACATTTTAATTTTGTATATGTAAACAATTACCTGACAATAAAAACCCTGTGGTTAATTATGCACATTACTATATTGACATTAAAGATAAATACAGAATTCATGCTCTTTTCAGAACTAGTTTTTTTCTTATATGGGTAAAGAGAAAATTATGTCTCTGCATGTCATCTAGAAATCTTCACTGAAATCAGAGATAAATAACCACTTTAATAATAAGTAATCCATTTAATGTAGATATTAGTACATGTAAATATTCATTTCATGCTGAATGATTATTAATAAAACTAGCTTATTAATGATAATGAATAAGATGTTCGCCCCAAAACCAAAAACTGAAAGAATTTTGTCCACTATACTTTTAATTTAGACAGCATGGATGTTTAAATATATTTGTCTATTTGTTAGAAAAAGCTGTAGGAAAGTATAGTTTGTCTTTATTTAGAAAATATGGATTTTGTGATTGTTCATTTTCCTGTAGGAACCATGTAGATTGACCCTGAGGTTCCAGCACCTATGTATCGAACGCAGTTACATAAGCATTTTTCTGTGTGAATTAATTTTTTTGTTTTTGTGAATATGAATATGTTTTACTTTTAATATCCAGTTCATATTTGTGTATTTTTTTATTAATATGTACATACTTTGGGGAAATATTGTAATAATGTCAGATGGAGACGTCACCGATTAGGTTATCACTTGATCACGTGATGCCTTGGATGGAAAATTCTGAGTTTTGTTTTATACTCGGTCGGCGTGTGCAAGAGTAAAGGCAAAGGACTGAAATATAGAAGAAATGGACGTGTAAGGACTTCTAGCAACTCCTAATATGACGATTTCACTGATGAATATTTTCCACCGTGTATTTTGCAGTGTTCACGGTGGTCTTGGCCGTTTGTATGACGGAAAATCCTGTAATAAACGTTTGGAACCATCGGTTTGATAATTGCACTTTCATCAACCAGTTAGAAAAAGTTGGGAGCAGCTATAACCTATCTGCTTTTGGCCACCCCTCAGTGTACGTTGGTTATTGCCTGGCCCCCCTGATTAAAGTTTTCTGGCTACGCCTCTGGCTTTGCAGAGAACGCTCGGTGGCATATGGGAGGGAGAGATGGAGACGTAACAGTTTGCATTCTGAGCTGTGGCTGAAAACGGCAAATAAAAATCATAAAAAGAATAAATAAATGCTGACCTTATTCAATCAGAAATAAACAGAAGAATTAGCTTAGTGGCGGGGGGGGATTTACTATTAGGCAATACTAGGCAGCTGCATAAAACTCTGTTTACATGCATGGTTAAGCCAACTATTCCTTATTTGTGCACATTAATTATGTTTTTGATATAAATGTTTTCGCTAAAATGTAATCAGAATGTTTATAACATTAAACATGTCTCAGTGCCCCCCCAATGTCCACCATATTGGATCAGTCCATTTGCTGCACATGTCCAGAAAGCTTCAAACAGACAGCAGCAAACCATTAAAATACAAATGGCGCAAAGGGCAGCGCTGCTAACTTAGCATTTTTGTCGCTATATTTGGCGACTTTTCAGGCCCTTCTAGTACTTTTCTATCAAAAAATCACCTAGTGCCAAATCTAGCGACTTTTTTTGTGGCTTTCTGGAGACTGTCTATACCATTAAAATTTCTGTATCTGTATAATGGGTCTGTTTTATGTGCTGTCTTCTCAATTCAGAGGGTCCCCTGCCTGTTTTTGCCTAGGGCCCCAAATTTCCTAAATCCGCCCCTGCTTAGTGGTAGAGGTAAACCACAAATGCGAACAATAATGTGATAGTATCAGAAAAGCGATATATTTTAACAGAAATATGTCCTTTTATAAAAGTCTGATATATCTGAGCTCCTTTTATTGATACATGTCTATATTTGGGATGCATTGATCTAGTTTTATTTAAAGGTCAAGCTGCACATTCTGATTGGTCCTTTGTGGTCCTTTTTTTTAATGCAATTTAAATTTTAGTGCAATAATAATAGATATAGCCGATAAAGGATAGTTAAATCTTTGATGCATAAATCGGGACAATAATTGAATTCCTTTTCATCCCCGAAGATCAAACCATGTCATCTTTTAATGAGCGATCAGCTAATCTCATATGTGCAATAATTTCCAACAAGATAAAAATTTGCAGGCTTACGTTACATTTATTTGATGCATTATTAGTCAGAAATGTAGATTTTAAGTTAAATCAGCTTGTTGAGAAAAAAAAGTAAAGTACTTGAAGCAGTTTTTTCAATTTAAAAATGAATGAATACATTTTTTTTTATTTAGGAAGTCTAAAGAAAGAAAAACTTTAAAGAAATATGAAATTAAGAGTTAAAAAAAAGAAAATGAGAGAGGACTATTACACTTTATTTGGGTATAACTGTATAGAAAAATGACTCAAAGAGGTTGCATATATTAAAACAGACTTTTAATCAAGTTAAAATGATGATTTAGAAAGATAACTGTTTTGAAACCCCTTTAAAGAAACTCTAAATATGTAAAATAAGAGGTTTGACAGATTAACAGTAATTTCGATATAATCTGGAGGCCACAGAGAGACACACCTGTGGATTAAAGCCAGCAGCAAACAGAGGCCTGCAGACAAAGTGGCGCAAATTCTGTTTAAAATGAAAACCACAGAAAACATTACCACCTTAAAACACACCGAACAGGGAAATTATCACAGAAGTCTTTAAAAAAATAAATTATTCGGTTTGTGTGGCTGTTGTGCTCCAACATGGCCGCTGAGAAACAAGGAAACAACCTGAACAGGGCGGACTCACCTGGCGAAACCGAGACTTTCCTCCGGTTGTCCCGGTCCAAAGCGGCCTTTATCCCGAACTACCGGCCCGGATGGGAGGGAGGTGGGTTAGGAAGAGGTCTTCAACTGAGCAAACAGTCGCTAAATGTTTTTGTGAAGTCCATATAATCCTCCTTCCGTGTTCTGGCAGGTATGTGGGCGTGGCCTAATGATTTCAGGTGTGCAGTTGAAACTGCTGTAGGCGCGGCTGATGGTATCGCTGCTCTGACTCATCATCACCTGTGAGTCAACTGAAAAGGACTTCATTCAGGTCTGATCCGGAAAATTATTCAATAAAAATGAAGAGAAAAGGAAAAAGAATAATTATATTTTCAAGTAAAAAAAATCCACTTGTATTAATCAGCTTTTTACAAATAAAATGTGAGACCAAATCTTCCATGAAGGTCTTTTTTTTTTCTGCATTTTTAACTAATATTACAACAAGTCCATAATGCTTTTATACATTATTGATTTTATTTAAAATATTAATGAATTGTCCTTTTATCTCCTCTTTCTTTCATCTTTTCTCTTTTTTTCTCTTTTTCCTTTCATGTTCTACTTACATTGCAGTGTCCATATAATCTGTTATACTCCCTGCATGAATTATAATAAAGCTATTTATATGCATAAATCAAGAGGAACACTACGGCGATAGCCATGCTGCTCCACTTGTGAAAGTAAGATCTGTTGGGCTCTTTTTGGCATCAAGACAATTATTCTAATTGCCACATTGCCAGACAGGCATTGTTAAAAAAAAAAAAAAAAAAAAAGACAAGCAAACAAACAAAACAAAAAAAAACTGGATTCTCCTTTAACAGAAGAAAAAAATAATAAAATATAAAGTGGTGTCGGATGGACAGACGGGCAGAAAGTTGATCCAACAGAAACAGAATTTGAATATCCCAGCGTGAATCTGTCTATGCAAACATTTAAATGTATTGGTGTGGAAGTGAATTGCACTCAATTGAGACTGTTTTTAATAGCATGAAACTGAATAAAAACTTATCAGAAACTAAAATAATTGGTTGAAAACATCATTATTGGATAGAAAATTCCTTCTGACCAATTTCCCTTTCAGTTCTACAAATCAATGATGTTATAAAATTCAATTTCCTTTCGGATTAAAAGTATAATTTAATTTGATTGAATCTTGATCCTGAGTAGTGTTGCACCGATATCAGTATCGGGAGGGACTCCGATACAGCAATAAAATGGTGGTATCGGTATCGGTGAGTACCAACAAATAGGGCACCGATACTATTTTTTTAGGGCCAAAAGTTTATTCAACTATTGTCACCCATTCCAGGTAGGCAATAAAAGTTCTACCGGATTCATTTTGTATTAGTCTTTTTCCTGCTTCACAAAGGTAGGCAGCAGCTTCACTAAGCCATGATGGCAATTATTTTACATCCAAGTAGTATGCAGTTCTTTATATATACACACCAGAGATTGGGGATCAACAAGTCATCTCTTTGTCATGTATTTGTTCTGCCCAGCCACTGAACCAGGTGAGTCCAATCTGGTTTTACCTGTGCAGTTTGAACTCACCTGGTCAGACACTAGTCCTGAAAAAGGCCACAGTAATTGAAAACATATTCACAACAGGAAAAAATCTAAATCTAGATAAGTCCTTTTTTTAAAAAAAAATAAAATAAGTGCATTTGTTCTTGGATTGAGGAGGTAAAAGAGACATTTTACCAATGAAACAAGACAATTCACATTTAAAATAAGAAAACACTATTGCATTGACTTATTTCCAGTGCATATTATATAATTATCTTATTTTAAGAGTAAAAATACTCATTCCATTGGCAAACTATCTCACTTAGCTACTCAAATTAAGGGTAAATAGGGGGCGCTGGGGCACCGCCCTCCCTGATAAGAAGAGAGAAACGTAAAATATATTTTTACACTCATAAATGTCAGTTTTACTCTCTAGAGTGTGTACCTATAAGCAAAACAAATTATATAAACTACATTTCCCAACCTACTATCATTCATTTGTGGGTTTCCACAGACAGACTCCGGGTATGTATGTGTGTGTGTGTGTGT